GATTTTTAAAAAAAAACGTCTGTATTTCAGTTAGACTTCAATCCATTAAAGGAGCTGAAAAATGAAATCAAATGAACATATTTTTAATTATAGGAACCTATTGTGAACATGCAATTATTCACAGTTGTTTATTTAAACAACTTGGAATTTGTCTTATATCTTCTGCAAGTCGATTAATCATACCTAATATCTTATTTTAGTGCTGGCCGCAGTGGAAGGAGCCTTTTGCTTTCTTTCCTTTTTTTTTTTTTTTTTTTTTTCCTTCATCCGCTTTAGCTACTATAATATAACCATATGGCATCTACCATGTAAGTGTGAAGACCGAAACGGTGCCGTGTTACTTAAACCAATAAGCTGCCGTTTCAAGAATGAATATGGACCATCAGTTTCCAAGACATCCAACGGTTGAGCTCAGTCCATCATGGTCAACGATATATAAGCAAATTTTTCTCTTCAGTTTGCAAGCATTCTATTCAATTGATATCGTGTTAGGTTTACTCTACTAGGGTTCATCATCTGTGCTGAAATCTTGCGTCTGTGTAATTGGTTGAGTGATTAGTTTTGTCATTCAGGTTGAGGGGTTTTGTCTCTCGGTGTGCTGGGATTCTTTGGGTTAGTTTCCTAGGCTATTAGTTACCAGGTTGGGTGATTTTGGGTATTCTTGGATCTTTCGATCTTGTGTTTGTAATCTGTAAACTGATTAACGATTAGTGCAGTGAGCTTCGTTGTTTCCGGAGCTCAACGTAGACGTAGATGGAAAGGCGAACCACAGTAAAATTGTGGTGTTCTTGATCTTTCGTGGATGTGTGTGTTTTGATTATAATCTGTGTTTTGGGACTGTGTTATTACAACATACCATATAGAGCTTAATAGTACAAGATCCAGGTCTCACTGTCCAGCATTTTCCATACCAAACGCTCGCTATTTTAATCCTCGAGCAGGTAGCAGGTCATGGTCATAAGAGATAAGACAAGGTTTCTTTATGCAGGTTGCAGAATTATGGTGTTTAAAAGTGTATGGGAAACGGATTTTAATTGATAAACAAAGGGAATTAATTAATCTTGAAGACAAGGACAACAAGCTTATTCCCAGAGGCTACACGGTACAGATTGGCACATTTTTCCTTTTAAATTAATAAGTTTTCACGGATTCAAGATTCTCCATTAATTTGCGTGTCAATAATTGGACGCTCTGAGGAAAAAAATATGTGGCTTAGCCTCAACTACTATAACCAGCTACCTTATAGTTGTTAAGAAATACACAAAGTCCTCGTTCTCACAATCTAGCATTTCTAATCTTAAAAGAAGAAATTGATCAAACTTAGGCTGATTTGGTTAAAATGTTGGATGCAAAATTTTTAGTCATTTGAGAAGAGCCATTTAATTTATAATTGAGAAAGTGGCAGTTTATGGTACAAGAGATAAGGGAAGATTTCTTTATGCAAATTGCACAATTGTGTTGTTCAAAACTCTATGGTGAATGAAAGGATTTTAATTTTTAAAGTGAGGAATTTAATTAATTTGGAAGACCACCATAACAATCTTCTTACCATAGGCTATACATGGCACATTATTCATTTAATAAATTAATTTGTTAAAAGGGAACAAAGGAAAACAGGGGGCCCTGTTTCTCCAAAGGTGTATACAATACATTTCAAATAAGCACTGCTTTACTAATGTTTAAGACAATGATCTTACACCTGAGATACACTAGCAAGCTTCACATTATCAGTACTTAAGGGAATGCACCTTTCTCTATATTGATCCATTTCAATCCTTTGAAGTCACAGAGTTACAACCTTTGAAGCTTCAGAAACCAGCCCTCTTGTATTTTCGCTCTATATATCTTGGTAAGGACTTTTGCTGTCCAACTGTCGAACTATTAGACAACGCAATTTTTTCAGATTCTTGATCTCGACTAGAAGCCCAAACATAGGAGTCCACTTCAAATCCAAAGTCTCTAAGTTGCAAACTTCCCACGGAACCAGCCCAATCAACTTGTCCACACAACCAGCCCACTTAAACGAACCTCGCACAGGGGAGTCCATAGCAGAAGGCTGACGCAGCCTGCCCATGCATCTGCACAACCTGCCCACAAAACCAGCCCATGCCACCAGCCCAAACAAATGGAAGAGCTTTCCGACTCCATCAGGAAGAGAATCCAAAGAGGCCTCCTTCTCAAAATCAAGTAATTCCTTTACTTGCCTTCTCAAACAAGAAGATGATACAAATTAGACGGATTAATTTTAAAAGTTGGATGCATAGGTTTAATCTACCAAATGTTACTGTCAAGACTTAATTTATTACAGAAGAGCCATCTTTATGTATTAAGATAAGACAAGTTTCTTCATGCAAGTTCAGAATTATGCGATTTAGGAGTCTCTGGAGAAATGATTGTGATTAATAAACAAAGGAAACTTAGTTTGATTTATTTTAAGGGCTATGTTACGTGGGAACAGGGCCAAGCAGGTCAATGCTCTCAATGGCAACTGGAGAAAGAAAAGAATTTAATGTCTTCAGATTTAAAAGAAAAAGAAAAAAAAATTGCTTCAAAATTTGAAGAAAAGAATATGCATCATAAATGATATATAGCACATACAATTTTAATTTGCCTTGATTACCAATATCCCGGTCATTACAAATTTACAATAGCAATTTTTTTTTTTTTTTTTTTTTTTCTAATTTAGAGAGTTATTCTAGTCATTGCAAAAGGCAAAAGTACCATGAAGATGTTCGAAATTGGACTGGATGATTTAATAACGAAAAATTTGTGAGGCCTTTGTTAAAACGGAACAGAGGAAAACAGGGGACCCTGTTTTTCATAGGCAAATCTTTCCCCAAAAGGTTATTGGAAGAAATTTCAGTTTCAGCATAGAGAATCGATGTTTGAAATTATCAAATTGTTCATCAAATACAGTTAATTCAAATGTGTGCTGCTTGCTTAATGGTTACTATCAAGGTCAAGTAGGAGAAAATATCATCTAGAAATCCGAATCCTGGAATTGTGTCTTGGCTTTGGAAAACTTTACCAGCAAAAATGGTTTTGCCTAGTCCTGCAATAACTGAGCGTTTGGATCTTCCATTCAATAACCGATCAATGAATTCGTCTCTAGTTGATTCAATACCCACAACTTCAGTGTCTTGGATGAAAAATGAATCAACTTGAGAGTCATGTGGAATGACATTTCTTGTTCCAGTGGTTGGTGCATGATCTGTGGACCTGATGAAGCTATACCTTGGTCCTCTTTGCTGTCTGTCTCTTGTCAAGTGATGATTTGATATTTTCAATCTCAGTGGCAAACCTACGGTGCAGTTTCAGTTCATTTACAAAACAACACATTTTCTGAAGGAAACGAATGAAACCACAGCCATGAGGAAGTTTTGCATCCTTCAACTCAACACGTCATCAATGACATCTTCAATATTGTGATAAGCTTCTTCCCTCACTTGTTTTGCCCAAGTTAAGACTCCATTGCTTTCTCCTTCTTCAGCTGCTCTCGCGTCTGCATCCTTGAGGAAAGATTTGATGCTCCCCAATTCACTTTTGATGCTTTCAACTTCTTTCTTTGCACTTCCCAACAACTTGGTTTCTTGGACAAGCAAAGAACCCGAGGTTTCTATAGCAAAGTTCACTGTAAAGTCTGCCATATCTGATAACCTTTTTCTTGATCACTCCATGGTTAAGATGTTTGCTCATGGATACATTGTTGTGTGTACATCAAAAATTTGTTTCAGGAAACCAGTGGGTTTGTACAGATACATTTGTCTTATCTTTATGAAAACATGCTGACTGAAGAATGGTTAGGGAACATTAACTTGAATAATAAGGCACCCTATTTTTTTTATCCTAATGGGTTCTCCAATTCATTTTATGTAAAAGCAAGTTCATAGAGAAAACCAACTAAATCCATTGAAACAGGGTAAAACAGGGGAGGTGTTTTTTATAGACAGATAACAACGATGACCATAATAGTAGCAACAACAACCACATTTCAAAGAAGATATTACACATAAAGTTTAAGAAAACTTCCCGCCCTACAACATGGAAATTACAAGAAGAAAACATTGACAGTAGATATTGCATGCTGAGAACAAGCAATTCTACACCATTATTGATGACACTACACACATGAATTACAAGCAACACGTAACCTTTATTACAAGAAAAGGCCATAGTCATCCTGGGTGATGAATGAAAAAGATGGATTTGTCAGCATCATTCTTCATCTGTTCATGACAATAGAAGATTTAGATCAGTCAGTTAAATTAATTCATACGATAAGTGAAAAACAAATGTAGTAAAAGAAAAAAAACTGAAAATTTCATTTCCGATAGCAGCGGATGGTTTCTGGTAACCAGAGACTTTTTCAGCGTGTTACAGTAACAAAATTGATATTAAAATGATCATCTATAAACGATCTATCTATCTATATAATTGTAAACTAGAAAAATGACTGCGTTTGGCCGGAATTTTACCGAGAAAGTGCGGCCACCCGAATTTTCTCCGCCTGCACTTTCTCGGTCAGATCCTAGCCAAACATTGAATATATTGCTAAAACTAATTGTAGATATAGATAGATAATTAAAATTGAATTATTTTGATACCAATATTGTTACCTAATATCGCCAAAATAAATTCCGCGACAGACCCGCAGTTTCCGGTATCGAATTATGGCAACTAGAACTTAATCAATTAATTAAGTAATTTTTTTAAAAATGTTTTAAATAAAATAAATTATAAGAGTATTTTTATTTATGATAATAAAATAATAAAATGTATTTATAAAAAAAAATTAAGATAATTGATGATTAATTACAATTACTACCAGATTAGAATGATGCTAATCCAACTATTAAATTATTTTTAGAAAAAAGTTTATTTTTTTACTCATAAAAAAACTGCAATACCTAATAGAAGAGAAGTGAATTTAAGAGAAATACACTACTCAAGAGGCTTACTTGTTTTAGGAGACTGGCCTATTGATTCTTTGAGTGATGGGGCTACTTGTTACTGGCCTCAATTTCTTTAATAAGCTCCTCAAAATCTTCTGCCGAAAGAGATGACAAATATTTACTAGTATAACCAAAGTTTTCTCCTCTAGATGTTTCTTTATAGCTGACAAGTATTTGTGGAATGTGTTTAGTGACATTCTCCCAATTCTCATTTTTTATCATGCAGTAAACCTCCTTCAACATCATACGAAATACAAGTCTCTTTAGGTTATTGAGATGCTCAATACCAATTGGAATCTCCTTCAACACTAGGCATAGTCCAATCAACAAGAATGTAAGACTAGGCATTGCACATTTCTCTATCATCATGCATTTCAATCCTTTGAAGTCGCAGAGATACAAGTATTGGAGCTTTGGAAACCAACCTTCTTTGAAATGCAATTGTTCATCAGAGTCACGCACAAAGAGCATAAGCACCGATAAATTAGGCAGAGCTTGAAGGATTGTCATGGAATCATTGGTAGATCCAATCAAATTCAATTTTAATATGATTAGATTGTGAAGTTTAGAAATCCAAACTGGTAGAATTTCAATAAACATCCCTCCCAAATCAAATCGCTGAAGACATAAAGGAGGAGAAGCCAAGGATTGTATATCAAAAGGCTCTTCTCCATTGTCAAAGCTTGTACACTCAAACCTTGAAGGTTTTCCATATTTTGGACAATAGCAAACAAATCTTTCACATCTCTATTTGTGACCCTAATGCCTAACTTTCTCATCTGCCTTAGTTTCTTCAGCTCTTCAAGTACTTCGGTGTTTCCATGAACATGTCGTAGCTTCCGCAACTCCGTTAAAGCCCCAAAACCTTCTTGTAGTTTTGCTCTACATCCGTAAGGACCTTTGTTGTCACACTGTTTTGCAATTAGACAGTGCAATATTTTCAAATTCTTGATCTCAATCGGGAGCTCACTCACAAAAGTCCACTTCAAATCAAGAGTCTCTAAGTTGAGAAGCATGCCTATAGACTTGGGAAGTTCTTTTAACTTTTGTATTTTTCAAACTTAAGTAGTGCAAATGGAAGAGCTTTCCCACTCCATCATGAAGACAATCCAAATGGGCATTTTCAAAATCAAGTATCTTTAAAAGCTTGAAATTAACAACAAATGTAGTCGTGAAAGTCTTGGACAATTCGTCTACATTGAAAAGACAAATGGATCGGATCTTTGAATTTTTTTATGCTCTCTAAAACAGCGTTAGTGCATTTGAGTATTGAAATACGCCGAGTTTTACTAAAGTGACTCAAGTCTTTTTCATTAAAGAAATGACAAAAATCACATTCCTTCATCTTTTTGCAAATAATCTCATACATTAGATCATGAACTCTACAACTTCTAACTCGTCTAGAAGGTTTTCTCTCTGAAACTTGAACCAAGCTTTTGTCAATAAGTTCTTTCATGTATTCTTCAGCAACATGCTCAGATTGAAGGTGGTTGTTGCACTGAACAAAGCCTTCAGCTATCCAGAGGCGAATTAATCTCCCAAATTTAATTTCGTAGCCTTCTAGAAACACACCAAAATATAAGAGACATGGCTTGAGAGGGTGAGGGAGATCATAATAACCTTCAGACAAAACTCTGTTGCAATCTTCAAAATGGGAATCACTGCTTAATTTTGAGCCAAAATCATCAAGTATTTTTTCNTCAATGGAAGTATCCATGGATACACTGTTTAAGAAACTTTGGAGAGAAGTGTGAACACAATTCCCATACAAATAAACGATTAAATTTCATCCTTGGAATTTCATCAAATTTCATGGTGAGTGGACTACGTATTCACAGTGATTTGATTCATATTATTCAAGTTTGTATATGGTAATCTAGATATGATTTAAAAATAAAACGTCTGTATTTCAGTTAGACCTTCAATTCCATTAAAGGAGCTGAAAAATGAAATCAAATAAACATATTTTTAATTATGGGAACCTAAGTGTGAACATGCATATTATTCACAATTGTTTATTTCAACAACCTGGAATTTGTCTTATATCTTCTGCAAGTTGATTAATCATACCTAATATCTTATTTTAGTGCTGGCCGGTAGTTGAAGGAGCCTTTTGCTTTCTTTCCTTTGTTTTTATTTTTTTTTTTTCCTTCATCCGCTTTAGCTACTATAATATAACCATCTAGCATCTACCATGTAAGTGTGAAGACTGAAACGGTGCCATGTTACTTAAACCAATACGCTGCCGTTTCAAGAATGAATATGGACCATCAGTTTCCAAGACATCCAACGGTTGAGCTCAGTCCATCCTAGTCAACGATATATAAGCAAATTTTTCTCTTCAGTTTGCAAGCATTCTATTCAATTGTTATCGTGTTAGGTTTACTCTGCTAGGGTTCATCATCTGTGCTGAAATCTGGCATCTGTGTAACTGGTTGAGTGATTAGTTTTGTCATTCAGGTTGAGGGGTTTTGTCTCTCGGTGTGCTGGGATTCTTTGGGTTAGTTTCCTAGGCTGTTAGTTACCAGGTTGGGTGATTTCGGGTATTCTTGGATCTTTCGATCTTGTGTTTGTAATATGTAAACTGATTAACGATTAGTGCAGTGAGCTTCGTTGTTTCCGGAGCTCAACGTGGACGTAGCCTTCCCAATCTTGGAAAGGCGAACCACGGTAAAATTGTGGTATTCTTGATCTTTTGTGGATGTGCGTGGGTTGATTATAATCTTTGTTTTGGGATTGTGTTATTACAACATACCATACAGAGCTTAATAGTACAAGATCCAGGTCTCACTGTCCAGCATTTTCCATACCAAACGCTCGCTATTTTAATCCTTGAGCAGGTAGCAGGTCATGGTCATAAGAGATAAGACAAGGTTTCTTTATGCNCTTTGGTGATAAATAAGCATAAATTATAACTACTAAAGAAGCAAAGTTTAATTGATTACCTGTTATTGGATGATATATGAATGTGATATAAGAAATAACACCTGGATCTTGGATCTTCTTTGTTTACAGAAGCCTTTCAATTAAATAAAAAAAAAAGTTAAAACTTAATTACATTGTTAGAATAAAAGAAAGATGACTAAAAAAAATTGCAAAAACAGCAGAAAACAGGCACCTTCAAAATTCTCTGAGCCACCAAACAAAATTCAAGCTATCAATTGTGTTAACTTTAGAAATATTGAATAGTTTAGAATTGTAGTTGAGAAAAGAAGCCAAGTTGTATAAGCAACATCAAGCAGGAAGGAGCTTCCGTTGGCCTTTACATACTAGTTTTCAAAAGGTGGGAATTGGTTGGAACTTCTTGGAAGGGAAAAGAATTTCTCTTTATTAATCTTTTGGCAATTTGAAGTAAAGTATCTATGCTTTGTTTAATAGCCAATTAAACACTATCTTAATTTTGAGTTTGCTTTGTGCCTTGCCTAATGCTCACTCTTTCATTTCAACGACTCTGGAGAACATTATGTTTCATATACAAATAAAAAGCTCTCTATGCGGATAAAGTAAAATTGAAGGGCTATAGAAACCCAAGAGAAAGAAAAAGAATTCAATATCTCTTGATTCTTGAGCAACCTAGTGGATACAACTATATCGTCAGAGACAAGACACTCTCAATTCCTACCAGCATGATAAAATAATCGAACTCAACTATGACAAATAAATTGGCGTCGTATGATAGCAGATTCCTTGTAGAAATGCAGACTCTCAGTTAAAATCAAAAGAAGGGAAAACATAAAATTAAAAAAATTAAAAATCACTCATATAATAATTACATAGAAACTTCTAAATTTAAAACAAATTATAGGATACCTACTGAATATTTTTGACCCACTTCTGCAACATAAACAGTCAACTCAATTAGTTAATAGTTTTATCACATATACATAATCTGTCGATGATTTACCAAGCATACCATTGTTGAAACGCCACCTGTACAATATTAAGCTCTTACAAGGATTAAAAAAAGAAAGAAAGAAGCAACAAAAATATTTGGTAACAAATATTTACAAGAAATGTTCCACCATTGGAGACGGACATGGGAAACATGGGTTATTCCCATCACTGACATTAACATATTAACATCTTTCACAGTAGGTAAAGCTTGTCACGAGTTGCTTATGTCAAGAAGTGCTCACAACACAGAAAATGATTCCACATCAACCCTAAGGTGTCCTTAAACATATTATAGTTAGTATCAGTGTCCACCTTCTGTTCCTGGAAATTGCAAAAAAAGAAACAATAAATGCATGTAAGATCTTCCATGTACTGAAAAATAAGCTAATGATAAGTGCAGAAATATGAAATAAACAGAAGAATTGCTTGCTCCATATGATTCATTGCAAGCCAAAAAAAAAAAATCATTGAACCTAAAAACAGCTAAACGTAAAATATTTTCATTGTAATCTTCCATGTTGAAATTCTTCATAAAACTCTTGGAAAAATTTTGCATTTCATTGAAATTTTCTATGCCGAAATTGTTTTGCAACTCAACGGTGAAACTAGAAACAAGATCTGGAAAACAAGTACTTCAATGATAAATTTCTGAATAGCAATAATTTCAACATTTATTAAGTCCCACATTAAAAGAGAAGGTCAAGTGAAAAAGTTTGAATGCAATAAATACCAATTACCAGTATGTCTGAAGCTAATCGCTTCAACTTCAGAGTAATCTCCAACGCAGACTCCCCAGTAGAAGACTTAAAACTAAATCGATCAGCATGTCTTACCTTGAGCCTCAGTGATGAGCTTTCATACAACTTAACTTCTGTGTGCCAAACCCCACTAACACGATACCGAACCCTCAAGTTTGACTTCCCTAGGGGCCATCTCAAACAACCCTTCACTCCTGGATCTAAAACAGCTGAATTAATCAGATTTCTAAGGCTCTGCATTTCATCATCCTGGAAGAACACATATAATCAGTTTGACCATAGATGTCATTCTCAAGGATAACTGAAACAGATATAAACAAAAACATTGGAGTCTCAAAAGATAGACTCCCACAAAAAAGGTAAAAAAAAAAAAAAAAAAAAAAAATCAAATAAGGAACCTCATTGTACAAAGCAAAAGTATTAAAACTTTTTAAGCCTACGAGTTGGCAATTAAAACTTTGATTCTGATGATTTTGTTTTTTACTTCAACCATTTGTTAACTTTCATGATGTCTGGAGGGAAAACTCTCATAGATTGTAATCCTCAGTGAAAAGGTATTATATATATGACTGTATGTTTAACTCTTTGGGCTTTGTCTTGTATTTCTTCTTTCTTCATCCTTTAGAAAATAGACCTTGGCCAGATAAAATCAAGTTATAGAACAAAGATTTCCTTCTACTGCTTTAAAGTTGTTTTTTCCTTTGTTTGAAATGAATAAATTTTCTGATTAGTAACAACAAATATAAAATTAACATGATCAGAAAATAGAAACAAAGTTATGCAAATTATTCTACCTAAAGCATCTAATGCGTAGGTTTGCACATTAACTTACAGTTAAGTCAGCGACAACACTCTTGGTTCATAGCATCAGCCTCAGGTCTAAATTCTTATCCACGCATGATATGTCTATGACCATTTGACGAGCATGGTTCAGTTCAATCTACAAGAAAAATATCTCTGATTGAGCATGAGGCTCTACATACAAAATAAAGATGAATTTAAAGTGAATATAAAATATTTTTGGCAATTCAAAATATAAATAAACAAATGAATTGAGTCAGGTACTTAAAATTTCTTTATGTCCCTGATATATTACCCAGATCCAAATCCCGTGAAGCAAAAGGCACTCTTAAAGAAGGGCAAATTCAAGTTGGTTCATAATCAGCAAGGTTTTTGCAATTTAACACTCAGGATCACACCTGTAATGGTACATATACTTTGGTTTATATCAGAGCTTCTTACTCCTGCATAAGCAAGTCCTTTACAAACAATTCAAAAGAGTTGAAAACTATTTCTTTTTTCTTCTTCTTTTAATGGTGAATTCCATTTAAATGTTTCTAGGAAGACTTCAAAAAAAAGATCTTAATCAGATTCTAAAAATTTCTATCCTTATCCTGTTTCGTCTTTTCTTGTTTATAATATAGTAGTTCCACCACTTTTTACGTCAAAATTCATCTCACAAACTCAGTTCAATCCATTTTCTTTTTATTCAAAAACATAAATATAGGTACTGCTGACAGCTTCATTTACCTCTACAGTTCCTGGTAGAATTAACTATATTATATGAAGTACATGTAACATGATTGTAATAGACAGGTGTTTAGAAGAACAATTACCCAGATATAGTATACATCCTTATCTGCTTCAAAATCAACTCCTACTTTTGGCACAACTTCACTTATAATGTTTTCCATATAAGACATAGGAACATTTGTATAAAATTGTCTTCGCAATTGTTTCAGAGTGGTTTCAGCTACTGGATCTTTTCTGACCTTTTCTATGTTCACAGAATAGTTCCTGCATCACAAAGATTAATCTTATAATAGCTGCTTAGTCCAATTTTTTTGTCACTAACTATTAGTACATATGTTTGCTTCACATTACAAACTAATTGAGCCGCAGACTGACTAGAAGGGGAAATACATTTGGTACATAGAGTATCATCATTATATGGTTAGAAATAGGCCAGCCGGCAGATTGATTGTTTTCCCAATTAAATATGTTATGTAACTGGTCAGTCAAGAAAAAGTGAGGCTGGGGAAATGATAAACGAGTTACTAGCACCAACAATCAAGCAATTCTCAGGTAAGGCAAGGCATCAACAGCAGTGCTAGATATGTGCTTTTGCAAAGTGTTTCCATCTTCACAAAGGACAATGGAAGTCAAACGAAGGGTTTGAGTGAACTAGTAAATCATAACAAAAAAAGTCGCCAATGCCAAGGCAAAGAGGTAGCGTGCATGATAAATCATTGTTTTAATTTTCTTTACTTTGGCTTTTTAAGAAATATTACCCAGAGTTTCTAATTCAGAGATTTAATTCACTCCTATCCCTTCCATGGGAATAGGTAGGGGACAACCTCATAATTTCCCTCTATTTCAACTGCTAATTCTTAATTGAACATAAGATTCTCGTGACAGTCTCAGTCATGTTGGCTTATGTAACATCCCTAAAGAAAGAGAAATCAAGGACGCATTAGCCAATAAAGCAAATCAGTTCTTTACCCACGAAAAAGAATTTTGCCAAATCTAGCGACCAATACTGGCTTTACTTTCTCCAGCTCTTTGCACTCCATTTTGTTCCTCAGATTGTTAAAAGAAGTCAATAAATCTGGCCATGCATTTTTAGCAACAAAGTCCCTCGTTCGACTTGATATATTCCCTCCCACTTCATCATTACCTACAAACAAGAGAGAAAACGATCAATACCACTACTTTAAACACTAGAATGAAATTACAAAAAAAAAAGAAAAGAAAAGAAAAAAAAGTATAATACATTAAGATAATACTAAACAGGGCATAACACCACCTTTATCTGCATGATTGTTCACTAAAACTAGGGACTTTTCTCCTATAGCCCGCTCAATGGGCTCTGAAATCGGCTCAAGGTGGACAAATGAAGGAAATTGGTGATTATCATCCAAATCAACAACGAACCATGTGTATACGCATTGGTCTGCAAAGATAATCTTCCCAACCCTGTCTACATTATGCTGAGATGATCTCAAGTTCAAATCTCTCTTGACATGTGGAGCAAGCAGCTCTGCAGTTGGAGATGGACGGTTGGAATCCTTTGAGTCGCTTGTGTGGTGGAATATAAGCCATAAAGATATAGCAACAATCTTAAACCCTGTTAGAATCAATCATCAACAACGGAACTTTGCCGAATAAAACCACTATCCTAATTAACACCCAATTCTTGCAAAAATCAACAAAATAATAGAAAAACCCAAAATCTCTAATACTGTAACCTCAAAACCTCTGAAAATAATAATGAGAATTAAAAAAAATAATAATAATAAAAAAAAAGAAGTAAGAAATGTTCCTAAATCTTCCCTCATTCATTGTTACTCTTTTCTTTGCCATTTTTATGTAGATTCAATAGCATCTATAATCACAAAAGAAGGTGATTATTATGAGAAGAAAGAAAGAAAATCTAAAGTTTTCACACATAAGTCATCAAAACACACCAGAGAGTTCAAAGGGTTTAGAGGGTAAAGTGGATGATCTTGAACAGGCACGCCAAGAAATAGAAGAATCGCAGCCATGTGCTCTTTCATCAAGAAGATATAAAAGTGGGGTTCGGTAAAGTAAATGGAGAAATTGAAAAGACTGCTTTTGCTAACAGTGGATTGGATGGAAGTGAAAGTGAAAGTAGAAAGAGAGTGGTTTAGGCTCCCCTGTATGAGAAAGAGAGTGCCACTGACCAGTCCGGAGCTCGAAGGAGGGTACAAACTGGTCGAACCGGGTCCAATAAAGTCCAAAGTTAATGCGGTTTGAATAATACTTTGCGTGCTTAACTAGTGATCATACATAGTATCAGTACTAAACGCATGGTATCCGTATTATGCTTTAAATTAGTACGCTGATTAGTAAAATTCGTTAGTACGTATAACATTACCCATGCGGTTTTATGTTCGAGCCTCAATCAATAACAACTGGGCTAATATTTCATACTCTAAAAGAGTGGGCCTGGGCTGCTTAAAAGAGGATACCCTAAATGTAGGATTAAGTCATGTTGGCTTGCAAAAAAGAAGGGTCAAGAACAGCGTAGTAAAGGTTTAGGGTTGTTAGTGTTGGAGTTGTCGACTACTTCAGTATTAATGGGTAACGGAGACGCACTCGGAGATTTCTTTTAAGTTACTAATTCCTTTTTGGGTTGGGCTTAGGAATAAGAATCCTTGTAAAACTAGGTTTAATCTCTTAAACCTAGTATATAAACATACTTTTCTTTTGTTATGTGTGTGAGAGCAATTCATTCATTGAGAGGTGAGGCATATTGCAATAATATTGACTCAGTTGGATATAGCCTACATTGGGTGAACCAAGGTAAATCGTGCGTATTATTTTTTCTTTATTTACCGTTTGATTTGGTTTACTATTATATTTTGTTCCTGTTGTTGTCTCTATTTCGTTCAGTTAGATGTTCTCTCCGACGCACAGGTTAATCTATAGTTGAAGTAACGGTTTCTGCTTTTAGATGAAAAAAGCAGTAAAAGTCCATGATATCATGAAGGTATTACTGAGTATCACATCAGATGTCAATATATACATACATACTAAGTAATTATTTCATTTAATAACTATCAATTTACAGAACGATGAGATATTACATGCAAAATTTAACATGCAAGACTACATTCATACTTAAATTGTAATTTAATAACTAGTCATTTCAAAATTTCAATAATATCCTATAAATCCTATAAACTTTTCATTTCTTGAAATTCAACTGATGGCTGTTTTTCTTGTATGTATTTCCATGAACAGATGATGAAATTCAACTTTTTCTTTCTCAACTGCTTTAGGTTCCAGGCCTGGAAACCGAAGTACCTTTTTTACAGCTTCAGTTTGGAAAACTTAATACTGGCAAGAGTGGTCTTGCCTAGTCTTTCTTGGCTGCTCCAAATTTTTGAACTCTAAACTCAAATTCAACAGCTCTCATTTCTTCTCAGATTCCGAAACACAATCACAAACTTGAATATTTTCTGTCAGCTCCATGATTACTCTGCTCAACAAATGGGATCGGCATCTGTTTGATCTCTGTTCATAGCAATAGATGAAATATAATCAAATTTAAGTAATGAAAAGGTAATCTGTAAAAATAAATCATAATTTGTTTTGCATGAAGATATTACATATTTAATCTATAATTATATTTATGCACATATTTTGATTCTAGTGGGGACCTTGTTCAGCTGCAGGCATCGCCCAATCACCAGCACTCCAAGATTAGGCATTGCACAACTGAAATCGATGAACTTGATTCAGACCTCCAGTCAGAGCATAGATATGGGAAATATCTTAGCTAATTCATTATTCCCTAATATATGGGGAAGAATTCCAATCTGAAATTCAGACTAAAAGTTCTTAGATTGAAGTTTCGGTTTCTGTGCATGCAAATTGCTAATATCTCCATGAATACATGTTAATTTCCTGGATACTTCAAATCACTACATTTAGTGCAACCGATGGTCTTCTATAGTGTCATTTTGGTTAGACCTTCTATTGCAGAAGAAATATTTCTTTAAGACAAAATTTAGATTAGAAGAGCTATTGCAAGTTGCTTTCTTTCCTTAATATATATATATTTTTTATTTTTGAAACTGGCATTTACTGCTTGACAAAAATAACACTAGGTACACGTCTCAAACGAGAACATGTTCAGAATGCAATATGTCGATGGGAGAAATTTGTGAGGACTTTGTTAATAAGGAACAGAGGAAAACAGGGGACACTGTTTTTGATTGGCGAAGCTTTCCACAAATCTTTACAATTCATTGACCTTTTTATTGAAAGAGAAACGGTTGTACTTTCTTTAACTCCTCCCACAATTTCTCAGCTGCAAAACAAACTATTTAAATCAATAATACTAGCTTTACAAACATCTCTCGCTAACACCTCTCACTAACCCCATGTGGCAGCTCGTAAGTAGCTTGATCAGGAGAGACCCATGCGAGTTGATCAATTGTGAACTGACACGTCGTATTTGTGAGTAGAAAGTTAGTAAGAAGTGTTTGTAAGTGTAGTATTATATATATATATAATTTTAATGTAAAAGCAGCTTCATAGAAAAAACCAACTAAATCCATTGAAACAGGGGAGATGTTTTTTATAGGCAGACAACAAGAATGACCATAACAGTAGAATAGCAACCACATTTTTGAGTAGATATTACACAAAAAGTTTAAAAAAAAAAAAAAAAAAAAAAAAACTCTTTGCCCTACAACATGGAAACTACAACAAGACAACATGAATAGTTGATATTGCATGTTGATAACAAGCAAATACTACACCATTATTGATGACACTACACACACGAATTACAAGCAATACAAAACCTTTATTACAAGAAAAAGCCATAATCATCCTCGGTGATCACTGGAAGAGATGGATTCATCAACGTCATTCTTCACCTATTCATGACAATAAAAGATTTACATCCGTCAGCTAAATTAATTCATAGGATAAGTAAAAAAAAAAAAATGTAAAAAAAGAAAAAAAAAACTGATAATTTCATTTGAAGCGACAACGAGCGGTTTCCGGTAACAAGAGACTTGTTCAGCTTGTTACAGTAACAAAATTTATATTAAAATGATCGTCTCTAAATGATCTATCTGTCTATATAACTTTAAACTGGAAAAATGCTTGCATTTATCCGGGATCTGACCGAGAAAATGCGACCACATGAACTTTCTCCGTCATATATTGGCCAAACGTTGCATTGGACAAAGCCTTCAGCTATCCAAAGGCGAATTAATCTACCAAATCTAATTTCGTAGCCTTCTGGAAACACACCAAGGTATAAGAGACATTTTCTGAACTTTGGCAAGCCATGATAATCCTAAAAGATGGCAATATCCCTGAAATAATTTACACCTTCAGCAGTGCAAATAGAGGCTACTGGGTTGCTTAAGAGCCAATCTTGAACTAAATCAAAGCAAAGCTGCATGTGCGAGAAAAGGGAGAAGTTAGTAGCTGTGAGTTGTGGTTACATATCGCAAGAAGTTTCAGTTTCAGCATGGAGAATGGAGGGTTGAAATCACCAACTACTTCATCCAATACTTAATGTTTAACACAATGATCACATAGGAGGGCTTAACAGAAACTGTAACAAGGTCAAGTTGATTTCTGTAGGCTGTATCCACTCAACATGTAAAAAATTTCACCAAGTACAAAACAATCACAAGAGAAAGAAAATATTTTAACATCATGTTCAAGTAGGAGAAAATATATATCATATAGAAATCCAAATCCTGTAATTGCGTCTTCTTCCGAAATACAAGCAATTACTAAGGAAATGACAACAGATTGACAGCACTCAGCAATTAGGAAATAGTAGATATTAGATACTGATCATATAAATATAAATAGTAGATATTAGATATTAGGAAATAGTTTTACAGGATCAGAGTATTGTACTTTTTGATAAGCTAATCCATCTATTACCGGTCCTAGACCTGTTAAGTTTGAAGACAGGAATCTTGGAGTTAAGAAAGATGGTGCTGTTTGCTGATAAAGTCAAAGAAAAACTGATATAATGTTTGCCAATAAAGAAGATTTGTAAAGACAATAACTTTCTCTTCTCTTATGTATGCCACGAATGTATAACTGATTTTCCCAATTTAGAGAATGCAACAAGTATGATGTTAACAATGATACCTCATCTATCACCTAATATTGTAATAGCTGGTAACTGAATTTAAGAGACAGGCTATATTCAAAAGGCTTATTTGTTTTAAGAGACTGACCTGTTGTTTCAGTACTCGTGGAATGGGTTTAGTGACCTTGTCCCACTTCTCTTTTTTAATCATGCAATAAACCCCCTTCAACATCATATTAAATACAATTTTCTTTAGGTTATTGAGATGCTCAATTCCAGTTGGAATCTCCTTCAACAGTGGGCATGATTCCGATCCTCAGCAATGTAAGATTAGGCATTGTACCTTTCTCCATCTTTGAAAGAGTCCTAGGATCAAACGAAAAAAGAAACCGGAAAGCTGTTACACTTTCTCAAGAAACAAACACAAAGAGAAACAGAAATTTCCAGAATTGCAATTTTATTGATAACCTTCATCATATAATCCAATTCACGAATTTGTTTGATACTAGACATGAGTCCACGTTGGCAGTAAGTATGACTCGTACAGATTAATAACTACAATTGATTCAAAAGAAACACAAAATTAAAGTATTTCAGCTGTTGATTTAGGAACTACAACTTACTGATCTTTGACCCAAAAATGAATAAAAGTCCTGCAACTTTGATCTGAACCGACAGCACTTGATTTGGCAATCCATGTGATTTTCAATATTAGAAGATCTGATCCATTCAACATTCAATCAACAAACACAAAACTCAGATTTGTGCAAGAACAGAGAGGAGAAGATGACTTAGCAAAAAAAGAGAGGAGAAGAAGAAGGAAAACCCTTGCTTCACTATGTAATGGAAACGACACCGTTGGACTTATGAGAGCTAACATCCATGTAACGGAACTTCGTTGACAGCCGCTTACTCTTTTTAAACAATAACACTTGGAATATTTTCCAGAATCCAGAATCCAGAACAGAACTCTTTCAAATTGCTGCTGAACCAGATGTTAAAGCTCAAATCTCCAAACTTTTTTCTTCTGATTTTTCAGTTGTACCCTTATCTCTGATCGTTGATTCACTAACAATCTTCATCCATTTCAATCCTTTGAAGTTGTAAAGATACAAATTTTGAAACCTGTACATCAGATCGTGGACTTTACAACTTGAACCAAATTTCTGTCAAGTATTCTTCGGCAATATGCTCTGATGGGAGGTGGTGGCTGTATTTGACAAATCCTTCCTCTTTTTGTAAATGAACTCATCAGATCATGGACTCTACAAGTTTTAGCTCCTACAAACATCCAAGCTTCTTTTAGTAAGCTTTTTCAAGTAATTCTTCTGCAACGTGTTCAGATGGGAGGTGGTTGTTGTGTTGGACAAAGCTTTCAGCTATCCAGAGGCGAATTAATCTTCCAAATCTAATTTTGAAGCTTTCTTGAAACAGACCAAAGTATAAGAGACATGACTTGAGATGGTGAGGGAGATCATCATAACCTTCAGACAAAAACAGGGGACCTCAATAAAAGTCTGAAAAGAGTGTATGATTCATGGAATATATAAGAAATTGAAATTGTAAAGCATCAGAACTCCATTTCTCTTTGATGCTTTGAACTTCTTTCTTTACACTTGTCAACAACTTGGTTTCTTGGACAAGCAAGGAGCCCAAGGTTTCTATAGCAAAGTTCACTGTACACTCTGCCATATCTGATAACCTCTTTCTTGATCACTCCATGGTTAAGATGTTTGCTCATGGATACAGTGTTGTGTGTACATCTAGAAAAAGCCAGATATCCTAATGGGTTCTCCAATTTTCTTTTATACCATTTTTCCAAGTGTGATTTTCTTTTTCCTCATGCCATGAGATTAAAAATATATATTATAAAATTGATTTTATGTAAAAGCAGGTTCATAGGAAAACAGGGTAAAACAGGCGAAATGTTTTTTATAGGCAGACAACAACACAATGATGACTATAACAGTAGCAACAACAACCACATTTCAGGGTAGATATTACACAGAAAGTTCAAGAAAACTCCCAACCCAACAACATGGAAATTACAAGAAGAAAACATTGATAGTAGATATTGCATGCTGATAACAAGCAATACTACACCATTATTGATTACACTACACATGAATTAAAAGCAATACATAACCTTTTTTACAAGAAAAAGTCATAGTCATCCTGGGTGATCATTGGAAAAGATAGATACATCAACATCATACTTCATCTATTCATGACAATAGAAGATTTACATCTGTCAACTAAATTAATTCAGAGGATAAGTAAAAAACAAATGTAAAAAAAGAAAAAAAAAAAAAAAACTGATAATTTTGTTTCCAGCAGCAATGGGCAATTCCCGATAACAGGAGACTTTTTCGGCATGTTGTGGTAACAAAATTGATATTAAAGTAATCGTCTCTAAATGATCTATTTGTCTATACAACTTTAAACTGGAAAAATGATTGCGTTTGGCCAAGATTTGACAAAGAAAGTGCGGCCACCTGAACTTTCTCTATCAGATCCTGGTCAAAAGTTGAATATATTGCAAAATATAATTGCAGATATAGATAGATCGTTAAAATTAAATTACTTTGATACCACTATTGTTATCTAATATAGCCAAAACAAATTTCGGCAATGGACCAGCAACTGTTGGTATTGGATTCAGGCAGCTGGAACTTAATCAATTAATTAAGATAAATTAAAAAAAAATGCTTTAAATAAAAAAAAATTATAAGAATATTTTAATTTTACTTTTATTATGATAATCAATTATTATGTATTTATAAAAAAATTTAAATAATTGATGATTCTTTACAATTACTACGAGATTAGAATTACGTAGTTTCTTACAAGCTAATCCAGCTATAAAATTATTTTTAGAGTTTGTAGTGATATGGTGCTATTTCCTGATAAAATACTAAAACAATTTAATAGCAAAGAAGTGAATTTATGAGAAACACACTATTCAAAAGGCTTGCTTGTTTTAGGAGACTGGCTTGTTGATTTTGTGATGGGGCTACTCGTTACTCGACCTCAATTCTTTTAATAATCTTCTCCAAATCTTCTACTAATAGAGATGACAGATATTTACTAACGTAAAAAAAGTACATTCTAAATGTTTTCTGTTTATAGGTGACACGTACTTGTGGAATGTATTTAGTGACATTCTCCCAGTTTTCATTTTTTATCATGAAATAAACCACCTTCAACATCATTTCAAATACAACTTTCTTTAGGTTATTGAGATGCTCAATTCCAATTGGAATCTCCTTCAACAATGGGCATGGTCCAAGATACAACACCGTAAGACTAGGCACTGCACTTTCAATATCATCATGCATAGTAGTGGTTTAGAAATTTCTGTTAGGGTGGGCCAAAATAAAAACTAATTGCACATAACATTCATATTCTGTTTTTCTAGTCAAAATTGTCACAAAAAGAAAAAAAAAATTACATATTAATTTTTTTTTTTTTTTTTAATTTGAGGGTGGGCCATGCATTTCAATCCTTTGAAGTCTAAGAGATACAAGTTTTGGAGCTTTGGAAACCAACCTTCTTTGAAATGCAATTGTTCATTAAATTATTTTTAGAAAAAAGTTTGTACTGACATGGCTCCATATCTTAGGCTTAACCTAATATTTAATAGCAAAGAAGTGAATTTAAGAGAAACACACTATTAAAAAGGCTTACTTGTTTTACGAGACTGACCTATTGATTCTGTGAGTGATGGGGCTACTCATTACAAGACTGGCCTCAATTTCTTAAATAGCTTCTCAAAATCTTCTTCCGAAAGAGATGAAAGATATTTACTCTCTATTTGTCTCTTTATAGCTGATATGTACTTGTGGAATGTGTTTGGTGACATTCTCCCAGTTCTCATTTGTTATCATGCAATAAACCTCCTTCAACATCATACGAAATACAACTTTCTTTAGGTTATTGAGATGCTCAATTTCTATTGGAATCTCCTTCAACAATGGGCATGGTCCAATATACAGCACTGTCAAACTAGGCATTGCACCTTTCTCTATCATCACGCATTTCAATCCTTCGAAGTCGTAGAGATACAAGTATTGGAGCTTTGGAAACCAACCTTCTTTGAAATGCAATTGTTCATCACAGTTCTCCACAGTGAGAAAAAGCTTCAATAAGTTAGGCAAAGTTTGAAGGATTGTCATTGAATCATTGGTTGATCCTTTCAAATACAAATCTAATCCAGTTAGGTTTTGAAGTTTAGAAATCCAAACTGGTAGAATTTCAATGAACATCCCTCCAAAACCAAATCGCTGAAGACATAAAGGAGGAGAAGCCAAGGATTGTATATCAAAAGGCTCTTCTCCCTTTGTAAACACTGATACAGTCAAACCTTCAAGGTTTTCCATATTTTGGATAATAGCAAACAAATCCTTCACATCTCTTTTTTTAACCCCAATGCCCAACTTTCTCGTCTGCCTCAGTTTCGTAAGCTCTTCAAGTACTTTAGTGTTTGCCTGCACATACCGTAGCTGCTGCGACTCTGTTAAAGCCCCAAAACCTTCCTGTATAATTGCTCCGTAAGAACCTTTGTTGTCACACCGTTTTGCAATTAGACAGCGCAATTTTTTCAAATTCTTGATCTCAATTAGAAGCTCAATTACAAAAGTCCACTTCAAATCAAGAGTCTCTAAGTTGAGAAGCATGCCCATGGACTTGGGAAGTTCTTTAACTTTTGTATTTTTCAAACTTAAGTAGTGCAAATGGAAGAGCTTTCCCACTCCATCAGGAAGACAATCCAAAGGGGCATTTTCAAAATCAAGTATCTTTAAAAGCTTGAAATCAACAACAAATGTAGTCATGAAAGACTCAGGCAATTTGTCTACATTGAAAAGACAATTGGATCGGATCTTTGAATTTTTTATGCTTTCTAAAACACCATTAGTGCAGTTGTGTGTTGAAATACGCTGAGTTTTACTGAAGTGGCTGAAGTTTTCTTCATCAAAGAAAAGACCAAAATCACATGCCCCCATCTTTCTGGGAATGATCTCATACATCAAATTATGAACTCTACAACTTTTAGCTCGTCTATAAGCTTTTCTTTTTGAAACTTGAACTAAGCATCTATCAATAAGTTCTTTCAAGTATTCTTCAGCATCATGCTCAGATGGAAGGTGGTTGTTGCATTGGACAAAGCCTTCAGCTATCCAAAGGCAAATTAGTCTACCAAATTTAATTTCGTAGCCTTCTGGAAACACACCAAAGTATAAGAGACATTGCTTGAGATGGTGAGGGAGATTATAATAACCTTTAGACAAAACTCTCTTGCAATCACTAAGACGGGAATTAGTGCTTAATTTTGAGCCCAAACTATCTAGTAAATTTTCCCATTCAGAAACAATCTTGTTTTTTCTTGAGAGAAGCCCACCCATCGCAGATATTGCTAGAGGAAGACCTCCACATTTTCCAACGATCCGTTTCAATAATTCCGTCAAGTTTGGAGGACAACAGCCGTCAGAGCCTAATGCCTTTCTACAAAAAAGTTCCCATCCCTCCTCTAAAGACAAGGGTTCAAGCATGTGAACATGAACTATTGACAATGGTACGAATTCAGCAATTGCGTTATTCCGTGTCGTTAGCATTACTCTACTATTTTTTTGGTTATCAAGTAACGCATGCTCTACATCTCTCCAAAATTCAATTTTCCACACGTCATCAAACACAATCATGTAACACTTGTCCGGTAAGTGTTCCCTCAACATCATGATCAAATCCTTCTCTTCCATTTTGTCTGCCTTGGTCCTCTTAGCTGTCTCTTGTCAAGTGATGATTTGATATCTTCAATCTCAATGGCAATCCTATGGCGCAGTTTGAGTTCATTTGTGAAACAACACATTTTCTGAAGGAAACGAATGAGACCACTGCCACGAGGAAGTTTTGCATCCTTCAACACGTCATCAAGAACATCTTCAATGTAATAAGCTTGTTCCCTCACTTGTTTTCTCCTTCTTCTTCGGCTGCTGCTCTCGCGTCTACATCCTTGAGGAAAGATTTGATGCTCTCCAATTCACTTTTGATGCTTTCAACTTCTTTCTTTGCACTTCCCAACAACTTGGTTTCTTGGACAAGCAAAGAACCCCAAGGTTTCTGTAGCAAAGTTCACTGTAAACTCTGCCATATCTGATAACCTTTTTCTTGATCACTCCATTGTTAAGATGTTTGCTCATGGATACATTGTTGTGCGTACATCAAAAATTTGTTTTAGGAAACCAGTGTGTATGTACAGATACAAATATGGGTATTTTTGTTTTAAGTACTTTTGTTAACAAATGTAATTCTATAAGTGCACTCGGCTTTATCTTATCTGTATGAAAAGTGAAAACATTAATTTTATATATAATTAATTTTATGTAAAAAGCAGATCGATAGAAAAAACAAACTAAACCCATTGAAACAGAGTAAAACAGGGGAGATGTTTATTTATAGGTAGACAACAAGGATGACCATAACAGTAGCTACAGCAACCACATTTCAAAGTAGATATTACACAGAAAGTTTAAGAAAACTCTCCGTCCTACAACATTGAAATTACAACAAGAAAACATTGACAATAGATATTGCATGCTGATAACAAGCAATACTACACCATTATTGACGACACTACACACATGAATTATAAGCAATACAAAACCTTTATTACAAGAAAAAGCCATAGTCATCCTGGGTGACCACCAGAAAAGATAGATTCATTAACATCATACTTCATCTATTCATGACAATAGAAGATTTACATCCGTCAATTAAATTAATTCATAGGATAAGTAAAAAAAAAAAAAAAAAGTAAAAAAAAGAAAAAAAAACTGATAATTTCGTTTGCAGTTGCAACGGGCAATTTCTGGTAACTAGAGACCTTTTTGGCGTGTCACAGTAACAAAATTGATATTAAAATGATCGTTAAACAGAAAAAATGATTGCGTTTGACTGGGATCTGACTAAGAAAGTGCGGCCACCCGAACTTTCTTCGTCAGGTCTCGAACAAATGTTGCATATATTGCTAAACATAATTGTAGATATAGATAGATCGTTAAAATTGATTATTTTGATACCAATATTGTTACCTAATATCGCCAAAACAAATTCCAGCGACGAATCCACGAGTGTTGATACCGGATTCTAACAGCTGAAACTTAATCAAAATTTAAGAGACCCAATCTCCTTCAACAATGGGCATGGCCCAATCTCCAGCTCTGTAAGACTAGGCATTGCACCTTTCTCTATCATCATGCATTTCAATCCTTTGAAGTCGTACAGACACAACTGTTGGAGCTTTGGAAACCAACCGTGTTTGAAATGCTATCGTTCATCACAATCATCCACAGAGAGAATAAGCAAAGATAAATTAGTGTCATGGAATCATTGGTAGATCGAACCAAATCCAATTCTAATCTGGTTAGGTTTTGAAGGTTAGAAATCCAAACTGGTAGAATTTCAATAAACATCCCTACCAAACCAAATCGCCGCAGACATGAAGGAGGAGAAGCCAATGATTGTATAGCAAGAGGCTCTTTTCCACTTCTAAACGCTGATACAAACAAACCTTCAAAGTTTTTCATATTCTGGACAAACAAAAGGTTTTTAAGAGAGATACAGAAATTTCCAGAATTGCAATTTTATTGGTAACCTTCATCATACAATCCAATTCACGAATTTGTTTTATACTAGATATGAGTCCACGTTGGCAGTACGTGTGACTCTTGCAGATTAATAACTACAATTGATTCAAAAGAAACACAAAATTAAAGTGTTTCAGCCGTTGATTTAGGAACTACGACTTTGACCCAAAAATGAATAAAAATCCAGCAACTTTGATCTGAACCGACAGCTCTTGATTTGGAAATCCATGTGACTTGCAATATTAAAAGATCTCAGCCATTCAACATTCGATCAACAAACACAAAACTCAGATTTGCAGGCCGTCGGATTTCTGCAAGAACAGAGAAGAGAAGAAGAAGAAGACGGAAAACCCTTGCTTCGATCTGCGTTGTTCGAGTTTTCGCCCTTTTTAATATGTAATAGAAACGACACCGTTGGAAGAGCTAACGTCCATGTAACGGAACGTAACGGAACTTGTATCTTTGTCGTTAACAGCCGCTTACTCTTTTTAGACAATAGCACTAGGAATATTTTCCAGAATCCAGAACAGAACTCTTTCAAATTGCCGCTGAACCAGATGTTAAAGCTCAAATCTCCAAACTTTTTTCTTCTGATTTTTCAGTTGTACCCTTATCTCTGATCGTTGCTTCACTAACAATTTTCATCCATTTCAATCCTTTGAAGTTGTAAAGATACAAATTTTGAAACTTGTACATCAGATCGTGGACTTTACAACTTTCAGGTCGTCCAGAAGCCTTTCTCTTTGCAACTTGAACCAAATTTCTGCCAATAAGTTCTGTCAAGTATTCTTCGGCAATATGCTATGATGGGAGATGGTGGCTGTATTGGACAAATCCTTCCGCTTTTTGCAAATGAACTCATCAGATCATGGACTCTACAAGTTTTAGCTCCTACAAACATCCAAGCTTCTTTTAGTAAGCTCTTTCTTGATCACTCCATGGTTAATATGTTTGCTCATGGATACAGTGTTGTGTGTACATCTAGAAAAAGCCAGATATCCTTATGGGTTCTCCAATTTTCTTTTACATCATTTTTCCAGGTGTGATTTTCTTTTTCCTCATGCCACGAGATTAAAAAAAATATATTATAAAATTGATTTTATGTAAAAGCAGGTTCATAGAAAAAACCAACTAAATCCATTGAAACAAGGAAAAACAGGGGAGATTTTTTTTATAGACAGAAAACAACGATGACCACAACGCAGCAACAACAACCACATTTCAATGTAGATATTACACAGAAAATTTAAGAAAACTCCCCGTCCAACAACATGGAAATTATAAGAAAACATTGACAGTAGATATTGCATGCTGAGAACAAGCAATGCTACACCATTATTGATGACACTACACACATGAATTACAAGCAATACAGAACCTTTATTACAAGAACAAGCCATAGTCATCCTGGGTGATCACCGGAAAAGATGGATTCATCAGCAACATTCTTCATCTGCTCATGACAATAGAAGATTTACATCAGTCAGCAAAATAATTCATACGATAAGTTAAAAAAAAAAAAAAAAAAAAACTGATAATTTTGTTTCTAATGGCAGCAGACGATTTCCAGTAACAAGAGACTTTTTTGGCGTGCTGCAACAAAATTGATATTAAATGATCATCTATAACCGATCTATCTGCCTATATAACTGTAAATTGGAAAAATGACTACGTTTAGCTAGAATCTGATCGAGAAAGTACGGCCATCGGAACTTTCTTGGTCAGATCCCAGCCAAACGTTGACTATATTGCTAAAACTAATTGTAGAGATAGATCATTAAAAGTGAATTATTTTGATACAAATATTGTTACCCAATATCGCCAAAACAAATTCCAGCAATGGACCTGGAGCTGTCGGTATCGGATTCCGACAGCAAGAACTTAATCAATTAATTAAGTAATTTTTTTTAAAATGTTTTCAATAAAATAAATTATAGGAGTATTTTTATTTATGATAATAAAATAAAATGTATTTATAAAAAAAAAATTCAGATAATTAATGATTAATTACAAGTACTACCAGATTAGAATGATGCTAATCCAACTATTAAATTATTTAAAAAAAAAGTTTATTTGTTTACTCATAAAAAAAACTGCAATATTTAATAGCAGAGAAGTGAATTTAAGAGAAACACACTATTTAAAAGGCTTACTTGTTTTAGGAGACTGACTTGTTGATTCGGTAATGGGGCTATTCGTTACTCGGGCTTAATTTCTTCAATAGCTCCTCAAAATCTTCTGCCAAAAGAGATGACAAATATTTACTAGTGAGAAAATAGTATTTACCTCTTTTTGTCGGTGTATAGCTGACATGTATTTGTGGAATGTGTTTAGTGACATTCTCCCAGTTCTCCTTTTTTATCATGCAATAAACCTCCTTCAACATCATACGAAATGAAAGCAACTTTAGGTTATTGAGATGCTCAATTCCAGTTGGAATCTCCTTCAACAATGGGCATGGTCCAATATACAGCTCTATAAGAGTAGGCATTGCACCATTCTCTATCATCATGCATTTCAATCCTTTGAAGTCATAGAGATACAAGCATTGGAGTTTTGGAAACCAACCTTCTTTGAAATGCAATTGTTCATCAGAGTCACGCACAAAGAACATAAGCACCAATAAATTAGGCAGAGCTTGAAGGATTGTCATGGAATCATTGGTAGATCCAATCAAATCCAATTGTAATCTGATTAGATTGTGAAGTTTAGAAATCCAAACTGGTAGAATTTCAATAAACACCCCTCTCCAATCAAATCGCTGAAGACATAAAGGAGGAGAAGCCAAAGATTGTATATCAAGAGGCTCTTCTCCACTTGTCAACACTTTTACACTCAAAACTTCAAGCTTTTCCATATTCTGGACAATTACAAACAAATCCTTCACATCTCTATTTGCGACGCTAATGCCCAGCTTTCTTAACTACCTCAGTTTCTTAAGCTCTTCAAGTACTTCAGTGTTTCCATGCACATACCGTAGCTGCTGCAACTCTGTTAAAGACCCAAAACCTTCGTGTATTTTTGCTTTATCTCCGTAAGGACCTTTGTTGTCAAAGAGTCGTACAATTAGACAATGCAATTTTTTCAGATTCTTGATCTCAATTGGGAGCTCAATCACAAAAGTCCACTTCAAATCAAGAGTCTCTAAGTTGACAAGCATGCCTATGGACTTGGGAAGTTCTTTAACTTTTGTATTTTTCAAACTTAAGTAGTGCAAATGGAAGAGCTTTCCCACTCCATCAGGAAGAAAATCCAAAGGGGCATTTTCAAAATCAAGTATCTTTAAGAGCTTGAAATCAGCAACAAATGTAGTCATGAAAGACTCGGACAATTTGTCAATATTGAAATGACAAATGGAACGGATCTTTGAATTTTTTATGCTCTCTAAAACACCATTAGCACATTTGTGTATTGAAATACGCCGAGTTTTACTAAAGTGACTCAAGTCTTTTTCATCAAAGAAATGACAAAAATCACATTCCTTCATCTTTTTGTGAATGATCTCGTACATCAGATCATGAACTCTGCAACTTCTAGCTCGTCCAGAAGCTTTTCTCCTTGAAACTTGAACCAAGCTTCTATCAATAAGTTCTTTCAGGTATTCTTCTGCAACATGCTCAGATGGAAGATGGTTGTTGCATTGGACAAAGCCTTCAGCTATCCAAAGGCGAATTAGCCTCCCAAATCTAATTTCGCACCCTTCTGGAAACACACCAAAGTATAAGAGACATGGCTTGAGATGGTGAGGAAGATCATAATAACCTTCAGACAAAACTCTCTTGCAATCACTAAGATGGGAATTAGTGCTTAATTTTGAGCCCAAGCTACCTAGTATATTTTCCCATTCAGGAGCAATCTTGTTTTTTCTTGAGAGAAGCCCACCTATCGCAACAATTGCTAGAGGTAGACCTCCACATTTTCCAACAATACGTTCCGATAATTTCGTCAAGTTTGGAGGACAACAACCGTCAGAGCCAAATGCCTTTCTGCAAAAAAGTTCCCATCCCTGCTCTGAAGACAAGGGTTCAAGCATGTGAACATGAACTATTGACAACGGTATGAATTCAGCAACTGCGTTATTCCGTGTCGTTAGCATTACTCTACTATTTTTTTGGTTATCAAGCAAAGCATGCTCTACATCTCTCCAAAATTCAATTTTCCACACGTCATCAAACACGATCATGTAACACTTGTCCGTTAAGTGTTCCCTCAACATCATGATCAAATCCTTCTCTTCCATTCCATCTGCCTCCGGTAGAGTGAACCCTGTTGAACGGTAAAGTTCTCGTAAAATTTTCCTTAGTAAATCTTTCTTCAAGTATTCTTTCCCAACTGTGATCCAAGCCTGGCAATCAAAATGCTTCTTCATTGTATCATTCGCATAAATTTTCCCGGCAAGAGTGGTCTTGCCAAGTCCTCCTTCGCCCACAACTGCAACAACTGAACGGTTGGATATTCCACGTACCAACAAACCAATCAACTGGTCTCTAGTAGATTCGATGCCCACAAGTTCAGCGTCTTGGATGAAAAAGGAACCAACTCGAGAGTCGTGCGGTACAACATCTCCTTGATCTATGGTTCTGAATTTATAGTCATCAGCTCTTCTTCGTATATCAGCAAGTGATGATCTGATATCTTTAATCTCAGATGAAGTTCCATGTCGCGCCTTAAGGTCACACACGAAGCAACGCATTTTTCGAAGGAAACCAGTGAGACCTTTGCCACCATGTTCATCATGCTTCGCCTTATTAAGTATGTACTCATCTATGACGTCTTCAATGCGAAAAGCTTGTTCCCTTACTTGTTTTACCCATATACCTACAATGCCTCCATTGCTTTCTTCTTCTTTTTCGACTGCTGCCCTTGTATCTGCATCCCTGAGGAAAGGCCTGATGAATTCCAATTCTCTTTTGATGCTTTCAACTTCTTTCTTTACACTTATCAAGGGCTTGGTTTCTTGGACAAGCAAGGAAGCCAAGGTTTTTTTAGCAAAGTTCACTGTAAACTCTGCCATATCTCATAACCTTTTTCTTGTTCACTCCATATTAATTCTTAAGATGTATGATCTTGCATACAATGTTACTAAAACAGTGGGTTGGACAGAAGTGTGAACACAATTCTTTAGATGTTTTTGTTGACTAGTAAAACTTTTGGGACTCTGTGACTTAGTCGTAAACAGCTGGACTAATTAATAATTAATAAAGTTTGAGAAGACTCTGTTATTGATTAATTTGGTTATGTATGGTTTTAAGCCTATATTACTGTGAAAAAGTTGTATCTACCAAATGTTAAAGGAAAATATGGATAAAAATATATTGAAAACTCAAATGGATTGAATTAATTGATGTGATATAAACTTACACAATAAAATATAACATGATACCAAATAATATAATATAGTTCAATTAATATAACCAAAAAAAAAAAAAAAATTATTAGTCTAATATACATAAAGGAAAATACTCACACTTACTATGCATACCAACTTTTCATCTTGACTAATGTGAAGTGTGATGTGGGGAGTCTCAAGCCGATCATGTCGCATTCTACGTCAGTTGGTATACAGAATCAGTACCCTCTACATGAAATATATATAAAAATATCTATATGATATTACATTGCGATGTTGAGTGACATTGTTAGTGTGCATGCCCAAACTGCATCAAAATACTCTGGACTGAGAAGCAGAATTAGTTTATCAAAGTTGGTTAAGGAAGTTGACGGAGTAGAAGGTTTTTTGTTAATAGAAGTATAATCCCGTTAGTTTACTTAAACTCAACGCTGTCATTTTATTTGAGTTTGAAAAACATAATTTGAAGATTGAACACACAGAGATCAACAATAACAGTATATATTAAATTGAAGGAAGAATTATCTACATCTCCAACTATAGTATATACTAAACTTTGGCCTCTGCGAGCCAAAAAATAACAGTCAACAACGTTTCTGGTAATACCAAATAGCTCTCTATCTTCTCGTTTATACAATGTTTCTTCTTTGTTTATACAATGTTTGATTGTTGTGTTAAGAAAGCAGCGGGTTGGAGAGAAGTGTGAACACAAATATTTTATTCTTTTGTGATCGGACTCATTACTACCAGCGTCTACACACGAAAACTTTATCCTTTATTTTCCACACGCTAATCTCTTTTGTCAAGGTCTGTCAATAAAGAGAATCTAGTTGTTCCCTCTGAGGAAAAAGAGGGCTCAATTTTCTTTCTTCCCTGGAAAAAAGTGATGCTGGGGAATAATTGTCACTATCCTTGAATTTCGTAAAGTGATACTATCGGGTGCACCTTTATCTTCTAATGTAATATGTTATTCAAAATGAAAAACCAACATGATTGTTTCATGAAGGGCACTTGTTTCAATTTGATTAGGAAATGCGTCTTCGAACTCTGTTATTTTCTTGACCTTTTAGTGATGGAGTGTGATACAGATTGGCAATATACCACTGCGAGGATAAGAATGAATTATTTTAATTAAGCTGGTGTTAAGTGACATTGTTGGTGTGCAAGCTCAAACTATATCAAAATACTTCTGGATTGAAGAAGATTGAACACAGGGGTTTTAACACTTGAAATCACAGAGATCATCAATCTGGATTTGTAAATCAACGGTTAGATGGCGGTCATTTTGTGTTTCTTTTGTCAAGTTCACAAGGATTAATCATTTTAAATTAAAAACTCTTCAAGTATGAGGAAGTTGATAAAGAGACTCCCTATAACTTTGTCGTAAACAGCTGGTGTAAAATAGACTTATTAATAAACTAATTAATTTGGCTAAGGTTAGGTATGGTTTTAAGCAAATATTACTTGAAAAAGTTGTAGTGGTTAAACCCTTCACCCTCTGTTACGCAATGGTGGAGATGGGTCCCTTATATCAAATCAGCAAAGCTACTTTATGAATAGTATTTGTTGTATATATATATATATATATATTAGGCCAATAACATTACAGTTTCACTCGTGTGATAATATTATGGGGTTGATATTTTAATAATGTGTTCTATGGAATTTCATGTTACCAAATGCATGTAGAGAACATGATGGCCTATGTTTGTTCCCACAAGGTTCGGGTTCGAGTACCCTCAGGCCTGGGTTCAAGTCCCCACATTGGTAAATGTAGGTAATTATACGACCAAAAGCTATTGTTTCTCACTTCCTAAAAACAGCATTTGTTGCCTTGTTATATATAATTTTGTCCTTAATTATTTACCTAGAAAAGACCAGGTATGCTATTAGGCTATTTTATGTAGATGCAATTTCATAGAAAAAACCAACTAAATCCAGGGAAACAGGGGACTCTTTTTTTTTATTGACAGAAGGTGTTCCAAAAAAGGTTTATACTTTCTTCAAGTTTCAATGGAAGTATCCATGGATACACTGTTTAAGAAACTTTGGAGAGAAGTGTGAACACAATTCCCATACAAATAAACGATTAAATTTCATCAAATTTCATGGTGAGTGGACTACGTATTTACACTGATTTGATTGATATTATTCAAGTTTGTATATAGTAATCTAGATATGATTTAAAAATAAAACGTATGTATTTTAGTTAGACCTTCAATTCCATTAGGGGGGCCGAAAAATGAAATCAAATAAATATATTTTTAATTATAGGAACCTAAGTGTGGACATACATATTATTCACAATTGTTTATTTCAACAACCTGGAATTTGTCTTATCTCTTCTGCAAGTTGATTAATCATACCTAATATCTTATTTTAGTGCTGGCCAGCAGTTGAAGGAGCCTTTTGTTTTCTTTCCTTTGTTTTAATTTTTTCCCCTTCATCCGCTTTAGGCCTTTAGCTACTATAATATAACCATCTGGCATCTACCATTTAGAGCTTAATAATACAAGATCCAGGTCTCCCTGTCCAGCATTTTCCATACCAAACGCTCGCTATTTTAATCCTTGAGCAGGTAGCAGGTCATGGTCATAAGAGATAAGACAAGGTTTCTTTATGCAAGTTGCAGAATTATGGTGTTTAAAAGTGTATGGGAAAAGGATTTTAATTGATAAACAAAGGGAATTAATTAATCTTTGAAGACAAGGACAACAAGCTTATTCCCAGAGGCTACACGGTACAGGTTGGCTCATTTTTCCTTTCAAATTAGTAAGTCTTAAAGGATTTACGATTCTACATTAATTTGTGTACCAATAATTTGATGCTATGAGGAATAAAAAAATGTGGTTTAGCCTTAAGTACTATAACCATCTACCTTATAGTTGTTAAGAAATACACAAGGTCCTCGTTCTCACAAACTAAAATTTCCAATCTTAAAAGAAGAAATTTATCAAACTTAGGTTGATCAGGTTAAAATGTTGGATGCAAAATTTTTAGTCATTTGAGACAAATTTATTTGAGAAGAGGCATTTAATTTATAATTGAGAAAGTGGCAGGTTATGGTACAAGAGATAAGGGAAGATTTCTTAATGCAAATGGCACAATTATGTTGCTCAAAACTCTATGGGGAATGAAAGGATTTTAATTTATAAAGAGAGGAATTTAATTAGTTTGGAAGATCACCATAACAATCTTCTTACCATAGGCTACACATGGCACATTATTCATTTAATAAATTAATTTGTGAGGCCTTTGTTAAAAGAGAACAAAGGAAAACAGGGGACCCTGTTTCTCCAAAGGTGTATACAATACATTTCAAATGTGCACTGCTTTACTAATGTTTAACACAATGATCTTACACCAAGGGCTTGATGAACTGGACGGAGGTGTATCAAGAATCTCATTTCTACTTGTCAATGCAAGTACAACCAATTGCTCAAGGTTTTCCATATTCTCAATTACAGCAAATAAATCTTTCACATCACTATTTTCAAGCTAACGTTCAATTTTCTTAACTGTTTGAACATCGTAAGTTCGTTAAGTATTTCAGAGTTTATCTGTACATGAAGTAGCTTCCGCAACTCTGTTAAAGCCCCAAAGCCCTCTTGTATTTTTGCTCGATCTTGGTAAGGACATCTATTGTCCAACTGTCCAACTATTAGACAACGCAATTTTTTCAGGTTCCTGATCTCGACCGGAAGTTCAACTTGTCCACACAACCAGCCCACTTAAACGAACCTCGCACAGGGGAGTCCATGCAGAATAGAGCAGAAGGCTGACGCAGCCTGCCCATGCATCTGCACGACCTGCCCACGCAACCAGCCCATGCTACCAGCCCAAACAAATGAAGCGCTTTCCCACTCCATCAGGAAGAGAATCCAAAGAGGCATTTTCAAATCAAGTAATTCCTTTACTTGCCTTCTCGAACAAGAAGATGGTACAAATTAGACGGATTAATTTAAACAGTTGGATGCATAGCTTTAATCTACCAAATGTTACTGTAAAGTAGAGGTGTTCAAAAGCAGTTAACCGGTTCCGCTTTTCTAAACAGAACTGGATTTTCGGTTCAGGAAAATCCCCGAACCGAAACCGAACCGGTTTTAGTGAAAACCGATTTTTTGGTTAACTGTTTTAAAAAAAGCGGTTAACCGATTTTGAACCGGTTTTCCCTTCTTTTTTTTATAAAACTTTTTTTTTTTTAAATTTTGTCCTAAATTAAGTTGTAAATATAGACAATACATTGGGAACTAAGAAAAAAAATTTGGGTTGAGATTTTAGATTGAGTGAATTATGAAATTGTTCATCAAATACAGCTGAAATGTGAAGTGCTGCTTGTTTAATGTTTAACCCAGAAAACAGATAGCAGGAAAGGTTACTATCAAGGTCAAGTTGAAGAAAATATCATCTAGAAATTCGAATCCTGGAATTGTGTCTTCGCTTAGGAAAACTTTATCCTTGACCTACTGCTGTAATAACTGAGCGTTCGAATCTTCCATTCAATAACCGATCAATCAATTCGTCTCTAGTTGATTCAATACCCACAACTTCAGTGTCTTCGATAAAAAAAGGAATCAACTCGAGAGTCATGTGGAATGACATTTCTTGTTCCACTGCTTGGTCCGTGATCTGTGGACCTGATGAAGCTATACATTGGTCCTCTTAGCTGTCTCTTGTCAAGTGATGATTTGATATCTTCATTCTCAA